AGGAAGAGGAAGAAGAGGAGGAGGTGGAGGTGGTGGAGGAGGAGGAGGAGGTGGAGTAGGGCGAGGACGAGAAGGAGGAGAAGGAGAAGAACGAGGGAGAGTCATGTACCTCTGGGATCCTCTTGAGGCCTCGTATGAGGTTTCTTGGGAGCCTCTCGGGGGCCTATTGGGGCTGCCTGGGCGCCTCTTGGGGCCCTCTCTCTTGGGGCTCTCTTGGAGCTGTAGGGACGCTCGTGGGGCCATCTTGGAGGACATCGACCAACAAGAGGGGAGCTCCAACTAGCCTCCCCCCTCGGGAGCACCGAACAACGCCTCCTGGACCCCTCTTGGAGCGCTCTTTGGCGCATTTGGGGGCTCTTGGGGTCGTTTTGGGCCTCGCTTGGGCCTCTCCTGGGGCTCTCTTGGGCCATCTTGGAGCCATCTTACGGCCTCGGATGGCCGTCGGAAGCGAAATGCGAGAAGCAATAGGTTTTGACGGATTTGAGCTTCTTCGGGGTTTCCTTGGAGGTTTCGGAGGCGTCTTGCAACCGTCTTAGAGCGTTCTGGGGCCTCTTGGAGCATCTTGGGAGTCGGCTTGAGGCATCCTGGGCTATTTTAAGCAATTTTGGAGGTCATCTTGGGCTCTTTGAGGCCCTCTTGGAGCCATCTTGGGCGAACACGTATCCTCTGACACTTCGCGGGGCGCCCCATCCAGGTCCAGGGGAGGGGGTAGAGGGGAGGGGTGAACCCGTCCCCGAAGGGGGAAGAAGGGGGTTGGAAGAGGAGCCTCCCTTGACCACTTACGCCCAGAGGGCTGGTGTGATTTCCAGGCACATAAGTGAAACACAGACTTCGAGCCACAGGAAGGGTGCAATATCTAGGATCATACGTAACACACAGGGTTCGAGCCACAGGAGAGGTTCAATCTACAGGAACATGCATAAATCACAAAGGGTTCCAGCCCCAGGGAAGGGGCAATCGAGTGGAGCATAAGAAAGACACAGGGGATTCGAGCGCCAGGATAGGTGGCAATCCAGAGACACATGCGTAAAAAACGCTGGGTTCGAGACTTGAGAAGTATCATCTATTCGAACACACTCAAAATACATGGGATTCGAGCCTCAGGAGAGTGGCAATACATAAGCACACACGTAAAACACGTAGGGCTCGAGCCACCGGAGAGGGGCGATCTATAGAAACAGCAAAAAAACATATACTATTCGAGCCCCAGAAAAGGGGCAATCTGCAGGAACATGTGCAAAACACAGGGGGCCGGCAGCCGCCCGGCTTGGGAGACGCTTCCCCTTGCCCCTCCCTGAAGAGCGGCAGTCGACAGGGACACACGTGAGACACAGGAGGCCCCCCCTTGGGGTGGCCTGATCAAGTGGCAACGCGTGGCTCCAGCTCGGGACAACCATGTTAGATTCCCCCTCTGTGGGCGGCCTGGGCACGCAACAAAAACATGGCTCCAGCGCGGGACCACCATGTTTCAGGAGGATAAAAAAACACACAGACACAATTAATCGTCCATCCCCCAGAAAATATAGGAAAATATGGGAAGTGGGGGGGAAGACAAAAACCCAGAACAGATTGGAAAGTATGGGGGATATTTTTATTTGTGTGTATTTATTTGTGTGTCCCAGTTCCCCTTCAATGTTGGATATCCCCGTGGGTGGCCTGGTCACGTGAAAACACATGGTCTCAGCCCGCCACGGCAGCGCCTCCAGCAGCGTGGACGCCGCCGCCAGACCGGCGAGACGCCTCCCCCCGGCCCCCCGTGTGGAGATTCTGGCGGGACGAAGCAACACTGAACCTCATGTCTGGATCTAGGAGGGCTGAGAGCGAGCCAGAGCACCATAGATAGTAATCTGCATTTCTGGACCAAATCGAGCCAGAACACCATGGTGACAGTGAGCTTGACTTCTGGACCAATTCGAGCCGAACACCATGGTGAACGCTGCTTGCAGATTCAGAGCAGATTCCGTGTCGCCCAACACACCATACTGAGTCGCATTGTTGGACCAAATTGAGCCAGAACACCATGATGAGCGCTGCCGGCAGATTCTCGACCGCACAGCCGGGCCGGTGAGACGCTTTTCCACCGGCCTTCTTTGTTGGAGATTCTAGTGAAAGGAATCTTCGAATCCCCATCTGAACCCTCCAGCGCAACGCTACTAGGGAAAAGCGTTTGAAACGTTTTCGGGAGTCTACAGTATGTTCGCGTCGTGTCGACAGGCGGCGTCACCTCCGCTGGCGTTCAACGTTGAACGCCGCCGGCGATCCAGAATCGGTCGATGTTGAACGGTCTGACGTTTCCACAACGACCGATCGTTTAAGGTTGAACGATCCCCGCGGTGTCAGAAACCCAGGACATGTCCGACACGACACGATTTTGCTGTAAATAACGACAAGAACCTGCCGATGAGGAGGACAACGACGGAGAGGGGGGGCGGGAGAGAGAGACAGTGCCCAGCCTGGAGCCAATCGTGTCCAGTCAAGGGTGGAATTCCAGGGTGGAGGTTCGAGGGTCTAGGCTCTGTGAAGTTTCCCCTGGGGCATGGGCTCTGGCCCACGGTTTTGGGCGCTCGGCCGCAGGGAGGCGATGTGCGGGGGAGGGGGGAGGGATCGAGGGCTGCAGGGAATCCACCCTAGAGTTAAGTCGGGCCTGTCCCTCTACAGGAGGAAGATTCCCAAATAGTCAAATGCACCGGGGACACTTGTGGCTTATTTTTGCTGACCATTTTGAGGCATTTTTGGAGTACAGCCGAACCAAGGTATAAGATCGAGGTCGGTTCGGGGAGGGTACCCTAGTGTTCTTCGTGTTTGTTGGATGCTCTTGTGCATCCTGGGGAGGGTACCCTTGGATGTTCTGTGTGGTTGGGCTGGCGGAGGGTCTCTAGTTCTTGAGGGATGTTCTTCTGTCCTAGGTCCGACCGTATTTCAGCATTGTCGGTCAAAATCCGCCTCTAGGGGGACACGCCCGACCTAACCCTAACGGGGGGCCAGCACGGCATCCGAAGACTGCCGCCGCGGGCCGCCAAAAAGGTGGCGGAGAGGCGCGCGCTTCGCACAGGGAGATATCCCAGAGGCCTCGCGCGGCGCGCAACAGCTGAATGGTTTATCAGGATGGGAAAAAACACACAGACACAATTAATCGTCGATCCCCCAGAAAATATGGGAAAATATGGGAAGTGGGGGGGAAGACAAAAACCCAGAAAATATGAGAAAATATGGGGGATCTTTTTATTTGTGTGTATTTATTTGTGTGTCCCAGGGCCCCTTCAGACAATCGCGCGGCGATGCTTCGACGCGAGTCCTAATTTCAGGGGATCGCAAACATGGATCAAGGGGGGCGTGGACTAGCGACGGGCCCCTTTCCATGTGAAGTCGCGGATTTCCGCCGCCGAGCGAGGCGGCACCGGCCGCATTTTGGGGAGGGCACCTCCCCCGATCCATGGATTTGGCGACCACGCGCCAAATCCATGGATCGCTAATCCATGTTTGCGCGCCCCCAATAATTGCGTGGATCCGATTTGAGTCTGGCGTGAAATGGGTATGGGAGACCGTTGTAAAGTCGGCGTGGATCCGGCGTAGGATGCGCCTCGAGCTGCCGCGCGAAAGCTCCAGAATTTCCTTGTAACGTTCCCTCCGAGGAAGGGATGAGGGGTTCTTCTGGCGTGCCTCCGCCTTCTCTTTGCCTCTCTACTCCTCCTGATCCCTCCTCCGTCCCTCTCCTGCTCCCTGCTTCGTCTTGTGGTGCGTACGCTGTCCACAGTGCTCGAAAGCGTGCGCAGGAGAGCGTAAGCGCCGACAGCGCTAGAGTGAGGGAGGCCCTGTCTCGACTCGCTCGCGACCGTTCCCCTGAGTCGGGACTGTCTCTTCCTGAGAGGGATTGGATCGTCTCCTCGCGCCCAGGCTCGCTCTTGGTCATCGCACACTTGTCAGGAGGGGGAACAACACACACAGACACAACTTATCATCGATTCCCCAGAAAATGTTGGAAACTATGGGAAGTGTGGGGGGGAAGAGAAGAACCCAGAAAATACATATGAGAAAATATTGGAAATCCGTTTATTTGTGCCTATTTATGTATGTGTGTGTGGTGTGTGTGTGTGTGAGTGTGTGTGTGTGTGTGTGTCCCAGGGCCCCTAACTTGCCAAGACCAGACCGAAACCTTCCTGCTCCCCCTGCCGCCTCCGTGGCGACCTGCTCCGAGGTCCTCTTGACCCTCGCGTCTCCCTCGCTCCTCCCGAGGCTCGGCGGCGACATTCGATCTGTGTCTCTCGTCCTTGTCCTCGTCGTAGTCCTCCTCCTCCTCCTCCTCCTCCTCCTCCTCCTCCTCCTCCTCCTCCTTGTCCTCGTCGTCCTCATCCTCGTCCTCGTCGTCCTATCCTCGTCCTCCCTCCTCCGGCTCCCACCCTGTCCGAGCTCTGCCCTCATGCTCCCTCCCTCCCTCCCGCCCCGCGGAGCAGCTTCTGCTCGGGCCTCGTCCCATCAGCGGTTGCTGCCCGGGGGGTCGGTGCTCCGCACTCAAGGCTTGCGCCAGCTCCCACCCAAGCTTCGCGAAGAGGGACTGCCTCTTCTCATGACACAAAATTGCACCCATGCCACCCCCGCATTCCCGATCACGACGGGGGTGATGGGGACTTGCCGAGTGTGCCGCGACTGGGGGGAAATTCGGAAGAACCCACGGTCGAGCGCCAGCCTCGAAGGCTACCGAAGTCTCGCCCCCACCCCCAGTCCCAGCCAGAATGAGTCGAGACTTCAGGTGTCGCTGTTGCGCAAAAATCATGACGTCGGGGGTCTGGGGAGGAGCATGAGATGGCGGAGAGAGTAAGGACGAGGAGGCGAATGCAGCAAGTAGGAGGAGGAGGCGGCAGTCAGGAGGAGGAGCCCCTACTGCCAGGGATGACCGCGGATGCCATCGTCCAGAGCGGGAGTGTCCTATTTGTGTAAGCGTCTTTCCCCCCTCCTTCCTACCCCTGCTCCCGCTCCTCCTCGCCGCAGATGGATCCCGTCAGGCAGAGAACGCCCGCTTCCTGCCCACCGCGCGCGGCGACGGGGCCGAGGAGGCGTCGGACTCTGAGGGCGACTCGTCCAGCGAGGACGGTGTCGGGGGGAGGGGGGGGCAGTCCCAGGCATGCTCGCGTCGTAGAAACATCGCGACGGAAGGGTTTTGGTAGTTTTTTTCTGCTCTGGGGGGCCTTTGCCGGGCGCCAGGACCGTCAACGAACGGTTCGGGATGAAGAACTGGCCTCGGGGGAAGGCTCGGAACTTCCTTGGACCCTATATTGCAGGAGGGAGAAATCAACTCTGGGCCTCCTAGATGGGGTCGGGGTAGATGGGGTCGGAGGATCGCGCCGCATCGCCGATGCATCGGCGATACGGCGCGATGCGGAGCCCGATTCGCTTTACGTCGTCATTGCCGATGCATCGCCCACCTCGACGATACATCGCCGGTGCATCGCCGATGCGGCGCGATCCTCCGACCCCATCTACTCCGACCCCATCTAGGACGGAGGACTTTATAGACACGGACACAAATATCGCCGATCCCCAGGAAATATTGGAAATATGGGAAGTGGGGGGGAGACGAACACCCAGAAACGATGGAACCAGATAAGGTAATCTTGGGAATCGTGTGTGTGTGCTTATTCGTGTGTCTCTGGGCCCCTTCAGTCTTGAAAGCATCAGGACATCGCATGCCTGGGATGACATGCCCGCTCGCGCCAGGCCCTGCCAGGACAGTCCCATTACTCCTCCTCCTCCTCCTCCTCCTCCTCCGCCTGCTCCCCCTCCGCCAACTGCTGCTCCTTCTCCTCCACAGTTACGCGAGGGGAGCACAGATGGGCGGTCTTAGAAGGCGAGGGCCTTATCTGTAGATGTAAGGCTGGCGCCTTCTAAGGAAGAGCCTCTGTCTAAGAAGCCTTCCCTCCTCCCCCTACCCCATTGTGCGCGCCACCAACTCGGTTGGTGGGATGGGGCAAGGACGAGGATGAATCCGTTCCAGGGCGTTCCGGAACGCTCTGAGAAGGCCGCGGCGCCCGAGACATCCTCCATAGATGGGCCGATCCTTCAAGGTTAAACGATCCCCGCGGTGTCAGAGGCCAACGCCAGGGTCGACACGACTAGGGGGCCACACGCGAACCCTACCCCTACCCCCCACGATTTCTGAGGGCGAGGGTGGGGTTCACTTCGTTCGGGAGCTCCCAAGCGAAGTGACCCCCACCCTCCCCCTCAGAAATCGCGGGGGGTAGGGGTAGGGTTCACGCGTGGCCTCCTAACGACACGAGCCTGCCGTACCTGCTTCCCGGATGCTGTGGTGTGTGTGTGTGTGTGTGGGCCCCCCCCTCCCGTGTATAGCAGTTCCACATGATTCCCCCACAAGACCCCTTGCTTTTGCCATAGGGACGTCCCCGGTGCTTCAACAGAGACGTTCCTGCTGCCATGGCATGTCCGCCCAACGGGATGACTTTGTCGCCCTCTGGTTGTGATTCACTCTGTGTGTCGTTCCCCTTTTTCTCCTCCACTCCGTGTCCGATCCGGGTGATTTGTCGTGGTCGTCGTCGTTATGTTCGGTCTTTCGTCTTCGTCGTCGTTTGGATGGTTGGTTGTTTTCGTTGCCCCCATGTGCCCCGCAGAGGGGATCAGTTATCATTCCGCAGTCGGGCGCGCGTATGAATTTCACATAATATGAGAATATATACGCAGCGCAGTCTGCGTTGACAGGCAGGCTGTTGCTGAATTAGGCGCTATCTGGTGACATGATATGGTATACTGTGTTATGTTGCCGTATGGTCGTGTGCGGGCTTATGATATGAGGCACTCTGTGGTGCCACAGCATGATTCGCTCAGCAGCCCAATGGTCGGCTAAGATGGGATGCCACCATGTGGGAGTTACGATGCATCATGCTACTCAGTGGCGTGCCATGTTCTGCGGCGCTTCACTTTTGTCATGGTGTGGAACGCTTATCCGAGATAAGTTGGCGGGTGTTCCGCAGTGCTGTCCTGTTTTGCGCCATGGCGCGACATTGCGCTATGACGCCCCAGGCGCGGATGCTGATTGCGTTGCGTTTCCTGTATGCCTTCAGGATAAAGCGAACGACTGTTGGGTGGCGCGACGGATTGCATGCGAAAGTCGCGAGCGGGCACAGGCCAGTTCGAATGGCGTTCGCTACATATGTCATTCCATGCCGCGGTATGATACTCCCGTTGCAGCGTTTGGTGCATTGTTGCAAGCGCTGCGCTGGGAGCATCAGGCTTGAACGGCATAGAAGGTCTTGAGTTGGCAAGCCTTGTCGAAAGACAGCTCGGGACCATCCTGCGCGTTCGCAGGTGCATCCGGCATCGGCAGGACAACGTCAGGGGAAAGAGGACAAGGTGTATTCAGAGTGGTGTGCAAATGGTATGCAAGTATGGGTGACCCAGAGGTTGCGGAGGAGGAGGAGGAGGAGGAGGAGGAGGAGGAGGAGGAGGAGGAGGGAGGAGGAGGAGGAGGCAGGGAGGAGGGAGGCGAGGATCCGGTTGCCAGAGGAGGACATTGCTGTGGCTCAAGGATGTGGCTGCGCTGCAACTTTCTGCGGACAGGCCCCTCCTGGGACCTCTCTGGACCCGCCGCTTCTCTCAGATTCCGAGTGGATCTCACCGGCAGTTCCATGTTTATCGATCCAACCAGCACCGAGGCCGCATCCATGGCGACCATCAACGATGTCGCGTCGTGGGCCGGACTCGTGGGAGAAGGTCCAACATCCGCCAAGGGGAGCTTGTGCACCCTCCTGGGAGTCACAGGCGCACAGCACCCCAGGCTCCTGGGGGGGATCCGCCTGGCGAATTTCAGCGCGATCATCGACGGCTGGGTCATCGAGAACAGGGGCGAAGGCGGATCCGCTGCGCCACCGTCGCCGGCTGAGAAAAGCCAAGGTGGGTTGCTGGGGCGAGCGTGCCGCGTTCTGACCGGGATGCAGTCTTCTGAGGAGCTCTCGGCCGAGCAGCTCTCGTGCCTCCGCTTGCCACTCGAGAACAGGCAGCCCCCGTACACCGACATGGTGGTCTGGGGGCCGTTGTACCACAGGCTCCAGAAGAAGTTCCGCCTCAAAAGGCCCCCCTGCGACTACATGGGCCGAATGCTACGCCGTGTTCAAGACAGGGTAAGTTTTGGTCAACCAGCTCACTCCCGCGCGCCTGGACGCCTACGGTAAGCACATCAGACGCTAGCACGAGCGCCACGGGCGCGACCAGTGGGCCATCATTTACCAGGTGGACGTCAGGGCGCGTCTGGAGCTCAGCGAGCGGCTGCGCAGGCGGGGCCAGGAAGAAGCGACGCGGGCCGCTGCCGCTGGCAAGCTCCACGACTTCGATCCGCGAGGTCCTTGGGAGTGGGTCTGGAAGCAGCTCGTCGAGGAGAGCTCGTTCTGGCCCCGCGAGGTGGAGGAGCCTTGCCTGCTCGAGCTGGCCATGACAAAGTCCTTCGGCAGCATACATGAGAACGATGCGCCATGCGTGGGCCACCAGGGCAGCGACGCCAGTGGACAGAGCCAGGGCGCCAACAAGAAGAGGCCCAAGGCACCGTCTCAGAGGGACAGCGCGCCGCCGCCCCCGGAGCAGGTGCACATCGTCGACGAGCAGGGCCGGTTCACGCACAACAAGAAAGGCGCGAAGTTGTGTGCCGATTCTCAGAGCGGCAGGTGCCCGGATGGCCCCATGTTTGGCGCGTCGACGTCTGCAACGACCCCGATTCTGATCTGTTGAACAAGGACATCTTCGGGGCTCCAGTCAGCCAGATCAGGAGTGGAAAGTGCCGCGGCATTTTGCTGGAACCGCTTGCTTTCGCGAAGTCAGCCGTCTTGAAAACAGGCAGCGGCGCCGAGAGATATGGCTGAGAACGCCTTAAGGCGAGCGAGACGAAGCAGGTCAAGGAGGGCATGCTGTTCGCCCTGCGAAGCCTGTCGGCGATGTAGGAGGCGGCGACCGACGAATGCCCGGCCACCCTGGTGCAGCCGCTGCTCGAGGACGACCCCGAGGCGATCGGCATGCTGAAGCTAGTCGAGTTCGCCGACTTCAGCGAGCGCGAGCCGACGCGCGTGCCCACGCTCCGACCGTTCGCGCACGGACGGGGCCCGCGGCGACAGGATGATACCATTCTTGACAATGCGAGTGGACTGCTCGGAACTGTCGCCTCGCAGCCTGTCGCAGGCCGGCCGCGAAGGGCACCCCCGCCAAGCGGCGGCCGCGCGAGCGGACGCAGTTGGTCTCATCAAGTACTCCGCAGTCAAGTTTTGCTTGGTTGCCGCCATTCCCGCGCCGGCGCCAGCGCGGGCGGCAGGCCCGGCCGCGTTCGCGAGGACGGGCTATTGGGGCAACTGCATGATCAGAGTCACCCCAAGGAGGAGGACAACCAGAGGTGCGTCGGGGGCGCGAGGCATCCGAGGCGCAGCCAGGGGTTCATGAGGTACTGCGGCACGGTCAGCCACCTCGCCCGCAGGAAGATCGACGACTATCCCAACGGCCACCCAGGGGTGGAGCGCCAGCGTCTCGAGGGGGCCCATCGGGGGCGATGAGTTGGACGCAGGGGCCGTCGGAGATTCAGAACATCATCGGCGCGCGCGCCCGCGAGGCGAACCGCCGGCCCGCGCGGTGCAAGCGCTGCCGGTCGGGCGTCCGAGCGCGCCCCTTTACGAGGTGGGTGAAGGCAGCGAACGACATCGACGCGACGCGCGTCCGGGAGCGGCTCGTGGAGAGAGTCCAGCAGGAACCGAGATCGACATCCTGGATCCCGGTATCTTTCCGCCGGCGCACGGGCCCGACGACCGCGACGGGAACGATTTGACGGGCACCCCAGACGCAGATCTGAGAAACTACACCTCGGCGGATGGCGACCCGCGTGCCGACCCGGAGGTGGGGCGGCCGAAGGCGTCTGAGGTCGTAGAGGAGCACCTCGGCGGGCCGCCTCAGGTCAGCAAGCTGGGCACGACCACCAAGGCGACGAGAGCGGGCAAGACCGGCAGACGCCTCATTCTGCTGGACTGCCGCGAATCTGGCGTCAACGCCAGGTCCAAGCAACGGCAGCGCATCGCCCTCCCTCGGCTGACGGACGTCATCGGCGACGCGATGTTCCTCGCGCAGAGGGCCGAGCAGCGCCCGGAGATGGAGGTCGAGTTGCTGATTCTGGAATTTACGTCCTAGTTCTTCCACGTCCCGTTGCGGCCTTGTGAGCGGAAGTACTTCGCGGCGCACAGCAGGGGCTGCTACCTCGCGTGCGCCGCGATGTCCCAGGGCAGCTGGAAGCCCCCCCTGGCGCGCGGGCGCGTCGCCGCTATGCTGGCGAGGCTCGCGCAGAGCATGTTCTCGCTGGAGGAGTTCCGCCGGCAATTCTACGTGGACGATCCGCCCACGACTGCGGTTGGCACCAGGCAACAGCGGGATCGCAAGTTCGCCGCGATCATTATCGCGTTGGCCGCGCTGGACACAGGTCTGGCCGGCGGGAAAGCCTTTCGAGGGCATCCGGCGGAGTGGATAGGCGCCCGATTCGCTGTCGAGGACGCGCCGGCGGAGCCGCGCCCCGGCGCGCAACGCAGAAGCAGGTGCGCGCCATGGTCAAGCAGGAGACTTTCGGTGATGTCGCATGTCGCATGTCGCAGAGCTCGAGTCCAGCTTCCGGCAGCGGAATGTTACCCCGATCGAGGGGGCGCTGGCGTGCGTTGGCAAGGCCAACCGCATCGCCGGGATCGCGGAGGCTCGGAGGCCCTTCCAAGAGGATGTTTGGGGCGCCATCGCCAGCGCCAGGAGCGGCGCTGCCTCGATCGCCCCTGCTCGGTTCATTGTGTGGACGCATATCGAGCACGATTTGGAATGGCTATCAGCTATTTACGTTGGGTCCGCCAGCGCCCCGTGCAGGGTGCATGCAATCAGTCGACGCATATTTTGGCTGAGGCTGCCAAGTGGTGATCACCATCGACGCGTCTCCCTGTTGATTGGGCGGCCACCGCAGGATAGGCGACGCCGTCTTGGAGTACGTCTCGCCACCACTCACTGAAGAACGAAAAGCAGCTGGATACGCCGCGCGGCGACGCAGCAGAACAGCAAGTGCGTGAGGCACTCGCAGCGTTGCAGGCCCTGCGTATTTGGCGCGATATCTGGCTCGCCGAGGGCATCGCGCTCGCGGCCATTTCGCGCAGCATCTGCGCGCTGACAGTGATCATGGCGCTTCGCAGCCGCGCAGGGGCAGCTGGGTCCGGCCAGATCGCTGAGGAGCTGGCGCTGGACTTCGGAGGCTGCGCGCGCAAGCCGCGCGTGCTCGAGCACCTGCCGGGAGTCGCAAACGGCACTCCCGACGAGTTCAGCCGCAGGCCACAGGCGGAAGTCTCTGGCAGTGCTGAGCTGGGCGACCGAGCGGCACCCCCTGAGAGGCAGCACGTTCTGGAAGGCCATTGCCGCCGCCGCTCAGAGCTGCATTCGGGGCGCAGAAGGGGCAGCAGTACCTGGCAGCGCAGCCCAGATAATCTCTATATCTCTATATATACATATACAAATATGTGTCATCTGTGAAATTGCCATATGAAATATGTATTGCTTCTACATTTGCTGCATTCTTGCAGTAATGCGCATCTTGGTGGGGAGGGCCATGATCCGCAGCTTCGCGCGAGATCTGGACATGCAAGGCTGATGCGTGAGGGGGGCGCGAACTGTTGTCTTGCGCGGGCGCCTGGGAGGGGGGCCGGATGTGTTATCCTTGTCTTCCTCTCTCTCCACCTCCGGGTCCAGGGCCGGAGCGTCGGCCACGCGACCGGGGCGCCGAATTCATTGGGAAGGCCTTGCGTCTCCGAAGCGAGGTGGCTCACGGCCGAAGGGGCTTAGTCTGGCCGGGCGCGGAGGAGGGGGGGGGGATCGAGGGGGGGGCGGGCAGGCTTCCAGCGGGCGATCTCTCGGCGAGGCGCCGGCTGCGCGCCCCGCGGGTCAGACTTTCAGCCATTCAGCCCGCAGGGAGCTACAGGAGGGAGGCTCATAGCCGGCGATCCCCGCGTGCCCCAGGCCTCCGAGCGGAGCGCCAAGTAACGAGCGGGGGTGCATGGGCGATCTGGCCCCGCAGGGGCTCAAAGTAGCGATCGGGAGTGTCTGGTTGAACGCGCCCTCCCAGCGGAGACGCGCATCCCGCCTTCCTCTTTGATCTGGCCCTGCAGGGTCTCCAAGTAGCGAGCAGGAGTGTCCGGATGATTGCGCACTCCCAGCGGAATCGAACACCCGGGCGGGCTTCTAGCCGGCGCTGCGCGGTTAGGCTTCAAGCCGAGGATGCGTTTGCAGTCAGCTTGGCGTCACAGAGGGGTAGGCTTTTAGCCGGCGCCCAATGGGTGGCGCAGGAGGGCGGGCTTTCAGCCGAGGATCCGCGGCACTGCCGGGGCAGGCTTTCAGCCGGCAGTCCCGCGGGGGGCAGCGAGGGGGCAGGTCTGCGCCCGGTGGTTTGCAGCCGAGGATCCCTTCGCGGTCGGCGCGGCGTCCCCTGGGGCAGGCTTTGAGCCGGCGGCCCCGCGGGGAGCTCTTAGGGAGCGGGTTTCAGCCGCGGGCCCCGTCGGGGTTGCAGTCAGCGGCCCTGCAGGGGGACATGCCTGGGGCGATCAGCAACTGCCCGAATTTCCGCCGCTCCTCAAACTCGTTTGCACGAGTTTCGGCAACATTCGCAGGAGAACGTTTGGCCTTTCCGGCTTTTCTGCTACCGTTTTGTGCCAGCCTCTGCCTCTCTTGGGGGATGCCAGCCCATCCTCGGAATATGTGGTCCTTGGAGCGGCGGTTTTTGGGATCGGTTTTGCTGCCCAGGGCGTGTTCTTCCGCCGGGCGTTGTCCTGGCCAACGATCCCCCCGGACGGGGTCAGCTCAATCACTGCGCTGCCGCGCAGCACCGCGCCCTTTCGGGCGAACGCCCTCGCAGATGCAGGCCGCGCTCGCCTCCGCAGCCGCCTCGGACCTGGCTGGCCGGCCACGCGCGCGCGCCGCGGCGATGCGTGGCAAGCGGAAGCATCCTGGCTTCCTGCCGCTCGTCGACCACCAGGACGCGCCGTCGCGCAGACGCGTCGTCGCGCCAGTGGCGCCGCTGATCACGGCGCCGCCGGGCGCGTC